CGCCATACAGGCTGGCTAGTCGTGTCAGCAACATACGATGGCCGAATCAAAGGCCGCAGGTAAGTCCAACAGTATTAAAATGCCATAATGGCCAGAGTCGAGAGAATTTAAGATGTCACTATGGACTTTGACAAGTGCTGTCTCAGTACTGTGATACTTTTTGTGAGCCGATTGCAGTGGTTTAATCTGAGGGCTACAACTTTTTCAAGCACTTTGGAGATGAATGGTAAATTTGATATAGGTCTGTAGTTCTTGAGAATTTCCTGATCAAGTGATGGTTTTTTAAGTAGAGGTGTAACAACTGCTAACTTGAAAGAGGTTGGGACGATTCCATGCAGAAAAGAGAGGTTGATAACAATGGTGATCCAAGGTATGAGCTGGATTTTAAACTTCTTAAGTAGATGTGTTGGAATTGGATCAAGGCAGCAAGACTTGGATGGCTCTTTTGTGATTATTTTGTTGATTTCATCTGTGGTCGTGGACGTGGAATTACAGAGTGTTGCTGATGTAGGGTTTAAAGAGCAGATTTGTGTCCTAATTGTCGGCATCCAAGCTGTTGCGAATATTGGTGATTTTATCGACAAAGAAGATGCTAAATGTCTCTGTCAATTGACTAGTAGTAGAATGAGTAGGTAATGATGATGATATATTGGTGGTAAAATTTGATGTGAACCTAAACAGTGCTTTCAGATCCATGGAGTTATCTTCAATTATGTTCGAGTAGTATTTAGACTTTGCATTGCGAAATGGCTTATTAACAGTACAACATTGAGATTGGTAAATTTGTCTATGAATTTCAAGTTTGGTTGAACGCCAGGTATTCTCAAGCGAGCGGCGAAGTTGTTTAGCTGCAAGTAGTTCAGGAGTGTACCAATTTTTATCTGGACGCACAGTGATCATGCGTTTCATACGTGGTGCGTGTTTGTTTAGAGATCTTCTAAGGCAAGAGTTATAATGTGAAATTGCTTTGTTTACATCTGTTAGGGGTTCCTTCCGTAATACTGATTCAATTTCTTTGGCAAATTCTTGAAAATAGCTTGAATGCGACGATAAGTTATTTCTTTTTGTACAAGGGGAGGCTTGGGTAATACAAGTTCTATGCGAATAGGAAAATGGTCAGAGACATAGATGTTATCAATGACAACTGAACAAATGATGGTGTCTATATTAGTGAAAACCAGATCCAGAATGTGGCCACGGTTGTGAGTAGGTGCACTGACCCACTGAATGAGGTTGCAAGAGTTGGTTAATTCCTTAAATCTATGAAGATCAGTGGAGGATGATAAGGTTGTCCAATGGAAATTGAAATCCCAGTAATAATCAGACTGCTAGAATATACAGAGGATGTTTCCAGGAGAGACCCAAATTCATCTAAGAATTTGGAAACGGTGAATCTAATCTTTGAATTTGGAGGAGGTCTATAGATAATGATAATTTTAAAGGTAATATCATGATGACGACGTGTGATTTCAACAGCCTCAAAGGTAGTGAAATTACGTAGCGGTTTCCAGGTGATGAAATTAATTTGTGATTTACATATGAAGGCAATCCCACCTCCACTTCATAGGTGATAGGTTCATCACCAGTAGGTTTTAGCCATGACTCAGTAATTGCTAGTGCATCGATGTTATGTTCAACAATATAGTCAGAAATGTTCGAGGCTTTATTTCGAAATGACTGTACATTCCAGCAGCAAAGTTGAAAATGTTGATTTCTTGGTATGGATCTTTGAGAGATAGGTTGCAATTTCCGACTGCCAGCCCTTTTACCTCTAAGAGTTGAAGGCTTTGATTGAATACCGAGTGATGTATTGCTTTGCCTGGGCAGAGGGGGGAGCATTTGAGTTTATCTTGATTACTATTGTTCCTTAGATGGAGTAGTTGGTTTCTTGCATAAATTGGTTGATTTTTCATTTAAACAGAGAAAACCCTGCATTTGGAATGTTGAGTAGATCATTACTAATTCCAGGTACACTAATATTTGTAAAGGTGCTCAATAAGTCCATTGTCCATGTAAGCTTGAATTCCCATAATAATAGACAGTGATGGTTGATATTGAAAAAACTTTCTTGAGTCACTGAAGCAAAACTTGCAGAAATTAGTGAAAACCGTAGCATAGACGACCCCAGTACGGTCACTAATAGTTCATAAAAGGATGACTGGTAAAAATGAGTGGTTTAGAATCGATGATGATCAATAAACCAGATCAATTTGTAGAGCAACTGTGAGTGGCAGCCTGTTAGGTGCACACTATGTCGAAAGTTAACTTTGAAAAATCAAATTTTACTACATTTCTCTGTACTATTAGCACAATTATATATTGCTTTCATAATACTAAAACAGATTTCAAAAGCAGCAAACTTTATTTGGATTCAACTTGCTATACAAAACAAAATACATTGCTCAAGTCAAATTATTAATTACATTACATTAAAAGTAACATATTTGAATATATTATATAGGCTTAGAACCAACATTTACTACAATGAATTATACATAGTATACTCATCACTCAGTAATTTGGCATACCAACGATTGCAATCTCACTATATTTTTATATTTCATGATGATAACTTCAAATCTTTATGTTCAGCAAATATCAACTTTTTCTTGAAACTACCAGTTCAGATGTTTTGATACTTATATATCAGATTTATTCAATAATTTAAACATTCTAATTGTGGTGGATATTGTTGGCAAAACAATATATTTTGAACTTTTTTTGAAAATCACCAGCCCAATTGCTGATAATGTCCAATAGTGCAGTCATACTTTAAGCCAAATTCATTCATCAATGTTTGTAGTCAAATCCATACAATCAATGATGTGCATGAGGTCTCATTAGGTCGTTTGTACAAAGATTGACAGCAATCAACCCACCCAGATACTATAAATTTGGAATGGTGCAAATGATTGATTTGAGTGCAGTTGTACAACAAAATGGTCACAAGTTAGCCTTGAATTGGATTATGTTACCAATTCTTAACATATAATGGTATAATGTCACTTTTAGACATTGTTAGACATATGTACAACGAACATTGGTATTTTGAAATGACAGACACTTACCCCCCCCCCCCAAGAAAACTTTGATAATATAATGACATACAATGTATGTGTGAGGCGACAACAATAGATTAGATTTCGGTGGGGACAAGATTTAGATAAACGTTCTTTTTCTTTGTTCACTAGTTGCAATGAACAACTCTGTGCAAACTAATATGCATTTAAAAAAAACACAAGACATTACAAATTGTATTTAATTCACTGGAAATAATGATTACAAGCAATAATGAAATAAAATATACTATAAAGAAATTGAGTAATAGATTAAGTTTTATAAATATATTCACCAGAATATGACTACGGTACTTTCTAAAAACAATAAAAACAAATAGCATTAGTCAAGTTACAATCTTTTTAAGATCAGCTTGCTAACAATATTTTAGCTGTTAATCACAAATAATGTTTTTTAAACCAAATATAAACATAATTTTTTAGGTCTATCCACAGAAATTACAATCATTGTTCATTATTACACAGGACCATAGTTGTCCTCTGAATGACTGCATACATGTACGGTATACATGAAATGGTACATGTATTACCTAATAAATGAAGAATGATGTGCTGCAAATTATTGTATTAATATTGTATTAATATTTAATATTGTACTGAAGGTTTTTATGTCATAGCTTTACAATGTCTCACAATAATGTGAACCTATATTTGTAAGTAAATTATAACTAAATAGAATGTAATCACAGGAAAATTAGTTATAAAATTTGTATTAAACCATGTATAATTAATTGATGTTTACTTTTTTTGGTCTTGACTAAAGTTCTTGCAAATCAAAAAACAGATTGACCCAAAAACACACTTTAGCCTTTGTTTATTTAAACATGTCTCTCCTTTGTCAACTCATTATCATTTACAGTACAGGGCATACAGGATGCATCATGTTCACAATTCATCGGCCATCTTCAAGAATACCATAATTGATGTGATAATATGTTCAGTTTGCATGTTATGTCAATTATTATTATGTAATATGAGATATATCCAGCACTGGTTTGAATACTGGTTAATATTATACTGATCATCATGAAATGACATACATTAATATATAAAGGTTGTTCATAGCAAAACTTGAAGCAAGATGGCACAATGTCCTGACGAAAAAAACTAGACAATCTAAATAACTAGTTCTACTCATTTCTCTTCTATTAAAACAAGAAATCAAAATGAAACTTTGTATTACTTTAGAAAATCTCAACAGGTTTAAGAAAGAGTCTCTTTCTCAAAGTGAATTGAGGTGCTGGCACCTGCTTTCTTTCACCATCTTTTGTAGCTGCAATAGCTTTAGCAACTTCTTCATTTACCTTTCTCATTATATCTAGCAATTCATATTCATTATGATATCGATCCAAGCATTCAACTAACTTGGTGATATACCATGATCCTTGTGTCTTACTTCGATACGAAACAAATCCTGGTACTGTGGCATAACCAAGAAGAAAATCAGCTTCATTAGGAATACTCATTGGTATTTCATCTTGATCTCCATCATGATCCATCACAATATCACCTCTTTGTGCTCTCTGTCCTTGGCAAGCCTGTATGAAAAATAACTTTGGTTTTCCAATAAGTGAACGGCAAGGTATTCCTTTCACACAGCTTGTTAGATGGGAAATTTCAATAGGAATCCCATCAACACCATATACCTTACCAGCTGTACCATGGCTAAGAATGCAACACACAAAACATGAGTATGGCATATGGTCCCTTTCTCCTATGTTACCAAGACAGGTGTACATGTCCCGAGCAGTCAAATCATCATGAACTTCTACCTCAAAATCAAGTTTCTCAAAAATGTGTACAAGATTATCTGCAAAAACAAAGATCATAAAAGAATTTTTATTATGCACAATAAAGATGCTGATCAACGTTTGAAAGACACAAGCTGCAATTTTGATATATATTTTTTCATATTTCATATAACTGGAAAACAAATTATTTACAAAGACATATGATTCTTTTTCAGCTGTGTATACTAGTAGCATGAATATCCTAAACTGTTTCTTCATATTTCCACCACTCATTTCGTATCATTAAGGGAATGTTAGCTCAGCATTTTATGGATTAAAATATGACAAACAAGCCATGCATGGCACAGTCTTCGTTAGTTATCAAATTTAAGATATATAGTTTTGTTTATAGTAATATAGCTGGAATATAACTATGTCAGGAACATGATTATGATGATTGACATTTGTATCTGATCGTCAAACAAGTACTTGTCCATATAGGGAGATATTGCTCAGGAACGTCAGTAATTAAAACAAAATCAGTCATTTTGAATACATGTACATATCTATAACATGATGTATAACGGATAAAATTTGAACATAATCAGTCAAAGCATGTCAGAGATATGGCTCTAGAAGCCTAATCATTAAAACATAATTACCGCCAGTCAGCCATTTTGAACCTGTAATGTCTAATGTATATATGTACTGAGTTTGAACGAAATCCATCCATAAATGCCAGAAATGCTTGATATTTGATGATTTTTTAGCACAAAAATGGTCAACATTCGGCCATTTTGAATAAGATCATCAATCCAATATATCTGTACACTATGACATGATGTATAATGAATATTACAAATTTGAATATAATCAGTCAAAGCAAGTCAAAGATATGGTCTAGAAGCCCATTCATTAAAACAAAATGGCCGCCAGTCAGCCATTTTGAATTCGATCTGAAAAATAAAATAACGTGCATCAGGAACCCGTAATGTCTAATATATGTACCAAGTTTGAACGAAATCCATCCATAAATGCCAGAAATATTGATATTTGATCATTTTTTTAGCACAAAAATGGCCTCCATTCGGCCGTTTTGAATAGGATCGTCAAACCAATATATTTGTATATCTATGACATGATGTATAATGTATATGAAAAATTTGAACATAATCAGTCACAACAAGTCAGAGATATGGCACTGGAACCACATTTATTAAAACAAAATGGCCTACAGTCCGCTATTTTGAATCTTATA